ATCTCTAATACGCATATTTTGTACAACCGTTGATCGGAACAGACAATCACAGAGATGTAGTGAAGGAAGGAATGAGGAAAGAGCAAAGCAAAACAAAATGACTCACAGTGGAGAGTCAACTTGATTTGACCAAGATGTAATCGATATTTATAATTAGATAAAAAATAACTTACAGACATGTGATGAGTAAGATGAGAAGTGCACACACATAGGCTCATATAAAAACAGACAAGGTTGATAAGCGAACAATTAACAAGGTCAAAATGTAGCTTGAGGAGAATGGACAGGTTGCTATGTCCAGAAGCTAAAATAAACTATGTGGGCTAGACATAGGATCAGCAACTACAGATCAATGGGGCGGCTGTGTTTAATTGTATCAGTGATATTCAGTGTACAAATCAATAAAGGTTCTGTGTATGTTTGAATGTCATTCCCGCAATAGTTCCCTGTCATGTTATACTCCAACCACACGGCATTAAAGCACAAAACCAGCCTCTAAACAATTTCGTTTTTGCTTCTTCTCACTAAAATGTTTGGCATTTGTGTCAGGAGCTACCCATTTACTAATATCTTCATGTCTTCAAAGTCTGTGACTAGCGTAGAACTGACTAGACCTTTGAAAGACAGAAAGGTCTGTTATGTTCTGTACACCTACAAATATCACGTGACTAAATCGCCAATATAATACCGACTTATTTGATCCTGGCTCTGTGCCAAATCAGTGACGTGTTAACCAGTACGAACAGCCTAGAGTTGGCTCTGAGTCTCTATTGATTACTCCTGCCTTTCACTGCTCATTGAGTCCAGGACACAATCTCAGCTTCCACTGTATGAGTCATATATTTCAGACATACATGGTGAATATACAAGTAAGCCAGACCGTATCACATCAGAGAATAAGAGATAAGAAATGTACTAGATCAATCTGAATGTGTCTGTGAGTGTGAGAGACTGTCAGTAATAGGTTGGGAATGACCTCAGAATGAAAAAACGTATAATGGTAGCCACTTGGTCAAACGAAAGCTTATAATGAAAGCAATATGAATATACATATATGTGATGAGTAGAAGTATTTGTATTGTTATATATACTCAGAAATAACCCAATTTAACCAAGAAGCATTATATCAGTTGGAACAAACGTATTGTATTTTCAATTTGAAATTAGATAATACAAAAAAATAATTAATTCATACAAACACCACAACCGCCACAGCTTATATTTGAATCTAAGTTTCTGTAATCGGTTTTTCGTCTTCTCTTGAAATCTCAGGCCACTTCGTAAAAGAATCAATGACTGTAAGTGCATACTATATGCAAAGATATGAACCACAATAGTGTGCATGAATTTTCAGACGATGCTGGCCATGAAGTCCACTTCGAACGTTTAATTTTCAACTTACGACATTTTATACTATTGCTTGCTATACGACGTATATCTGCATTTATCTCTGGCAACCAACATATGAACCTTGCGAAGAATTTTATTTTCTCAACATTTATATGTCCACTATGAAGACAGATTTACGTAGTAAAGAAGGAATAAGGACACGCTTATTTAAGTACAAAATACCATCAGGGGTAGTGGATAACTTATCCCGATTTGAAAAAATTGACAAGAAATATACGTTTCACGTTAGCATTCCAACTTTTCTGTATAACACTAAGTATACATCCAAAGTATCTACGAGTTTCTCTAATGAGATCTGGACGTCTCACCGGCAAAGGTTTCACTAACAAACAGTTTGAAGTATCAATAAGTCTATCTTGTCATGATTACCCGGACCTGTCGTCAACCTGTTGAGTTTTTTAAACACCCCTGTGATGAACCGTAAACTCAGAGGAATTTAAAGCAATGCTCCTTCGTTGGACCATAGCAACTGAGGAACGTGCTAAGGATTTTTCAGTACGATGAATGATCTTTGAAGCTTCATGATCAGTAACAATGGTGAATTTTTTTCCGAATAAATATTTATGAAGTCGTTTGACAGTCTGAAACACAGCTAACGATCCTCGCTGAGTCTGTGAATAACTTTGTTCAGTAACAGTAAGTTTGCGTGAAACAGAGATAACTGGCCTACCTTCCTACTCCAAAACTGCACAAATTCCCGCAGGTGATGCATCAGTAATAAGTATAGAATGTACATTAGGGGAGTAAGTTCGAAGAACAGCATCACTTTGAAGAAACTTTAACAAACTCGGTAGGCACGCCTCTTCTTCCTCACTGTATTTGGATGAATTGGATATCAAAATATTAAATAAACAATTTGCACGACAAGAAAAATTAGGAATAAAACGGGAATAGTATTGAAGAGCAAACACTATTGAGTGTAGTTCTGTAAGGTTTTTTGGAGACGGTGCATTTGTCAGTGGAGCTAGTCGTTTCATATCTGGTCTAAAACCATTACCATCAACTAGGTACCCAAGATATTCAAAACTACATGCACAAAATGAACACTTATTTAGATTCACCGTGATATTCTTCTCGATTAAACGACGTAATGAAGCAATAAATCTCTGGTCATAAGTTACCTTATCAGAACCATGAACAATGAGATCGTCTTGATAAGCTTCAATATCTTCAAGATCATTAACTTCCATATTCATCACTTCCTGAAGTATGGCTGGAGAACAACTTAGACCTAATGGTAGGAAGTTGTATTTGAACAGACCAAAAGGAGTTTTAAATGTCGTTAAAATAGATGAAAATTAATCTAAGCGGACTTGAAGATAATCATCTTTCAAGTCAACTTTCGAGAACATTTTAAAACCATGAAGTCGATTTAGAATATCTTCAGTCTCTGCCGACGTGTATATTTGCTTAAACAATCAGGAGTTTAGTGTTAATCTTTAGTCACCACATATTCTAGGGGTCTTGCCATCCGACTTCAGTGGCGTGACAATAGGATTCCCTCATGCTCAAGACTGAATCGGTTCAATTATACTTCAATGTCTTATGTACTATTTCTTGAAGATCATAAGGAATTATTCACCTCCTAAGAAAGACTGGATCACCCTGTACTTGAAGTTTTATAGGCTGAATTTTCATACCTTCACTGCACTTAGCACATGTAGCTATCAAATCCTTAAATAAAGCATCAAAATGTTTTTGGAAACTGGTGCTGCTTGTGTCCACAATAAAGTCATGAAATGAACTGAGTGATGCATATAATCCCTAGTAGATCACCAACGTAGGTGATCTTTGCTGAATGAATGGGAGCTTGTTCAAGTTAGACGGGAATAGTGTGATTAAGAGCTAACGTCGAAGTCACACTTCACTGTCAACATTTATGGTGTATTACCTCTTCGCGGTATCAAGGCACTTTGGACGCCTTAATGATTGTAAAATACAAAGGACGTTATTACATAAATATATTAATTACAGTGGGTACAAGCGAAAGTGTGGCCACCACCGCATGCCCCAGTCCAAGACGTACGATTAACGAAGGCGCGTTGGTTGTCCATGACATAGACGGGATCAATTAACTGTTCGATACTTAGTGACCTAACTGCCGGATGATTTGGCTGGGGCTCAGTGATATTTCACTGGTCCTACACCCTTTCGAATATGAACAATGCCTTTAGAAATGGCGGATAAAGAACAACTGTATTAATGAGATCTAAATTACAAGGTTTAGTACTGCTTGAAGCAAAATGAATAGTAGTTTTGTATACTGACTGAATGTGTCCTATAGTACCACATTTAAACATTTAGCATTAAGAAATGCAAATGAATTACGAGAATGAAATTTGCCACAGGATAGACATTTACTAAACTTGCTCTCACCTTTGTGGCTTGCTTTGCGATTCCTTGTTGCATCATTTTCATATTTTCACGAGAATAGGAATCACTGTTAAACAAACGCAAGTTTGATTCATTCTGAGATTGTATTCCATCATGACGACTGGGCAAAATATTAGAAATTTTCACCGATTGGATATCAAGTTCATTCATTGCTTCGTAGCTAATACATGCAGTTCTAGCATATTGGAAGCAAAATTTCGGCATTCTTAACAGCTCTTTTTCCAGAACTGGCAATTATTCGATGCCACAGCTGCACATGAAGGTGATCACCAAAACTGCATTTGGCAGCTTGTTTTTGCAGTTCATTGATGAATTCCTTAACGTTTTGGTTATTCGGACGAATTATCTTGAGAAACTTTGCTCTCTTACGACATGCGAAATTGGTACAATTTAAATGATTTAATAGTAGTTCCTTAAGAGTTGCATAAAAAAGTGAGATGGGCTCTTCTGGATATACCAAAGTTTTTTACAAACTGCATGTTTCTTTTCCAATAAATGTAAAACAAGGCGCCACAATTTTATCACATCATTCTTGGTCATGTTCCAGATTTCAAACCTTTCCAAATAATCCTCAAAAGCTTCAGAAGTTGAATGAATGTCCAACTGTTAAATCACTGACTCTATCGCGATGCCAATGTGATAATTATAAGTACTTGAATTATAGTAAAAATTAAGAATCCCATTAGTTGCGTAATTTAAACAAGAAGCATTAAATGAGCACGAACGAATGTATTGTATTTGGAATTTGAAGTCAGACAGATATTCAGTACAAAGAAATCATTAGTTCATAAAAACACTATAGGGCATATATGATCTTTCACTGCTGCAATATTCACTATCATCTAACCTTATTTTCAGCAACCTCTTGCATCAAAAGCAGTATTTAGGGCATAAAAACATCGATTGACTTAGTCCTGATAAGTAGAATAATAAAACTATTACTGAAAATCAACAATTTAACATAGTGTTTAGTTCAACATCAATTAAACTAACTCATTAAAGTTTAGAATAATGCATGCAATCCGCATCATGTGAATGGTTGAAGTCTACAATTTACACATATTTGTTAGATAATCCAAAAATAAGCCAATGAGAAATCAGTGTATGACAAAATGTTAGAAAGTTTCGGTTTGTGAAACAGTATTTAAACGAATCAAATCAAACGACAAAAGTTGTAGACCTAGTAAGACAAAGATATGCTTCCTACCGTCTTATCGACAGTTCCAAAATGCTTGCTATTTTTCATAGCAGTCATACTATCACAGTATAAAATTGAGAGTAAATCGTCATCATTGGATGTAACAGATCCAGAAACTTGGAAGAAGTTGGCAGTTGAGAGATTTAGTAAATTTGAACAATCATTATATTACTCATCACTCAAACGACCAAAAAATATCATCTTATTTATTGGTGATGGTATGAGCTTGAGCACTGTTACTGGAGCAAGATATTTAAAAGCGGAGAAGATGAATCTTTTAGGTGGTGATGTACAGTTAGAATGGGAAAACTGGCCTGTTGCATCACTTGTCCGTACATTGAACTCAGACAGACTGACAACAGATTCAGGTTCTGCGGCAACTGCTTTTATGTCAGGTAAGTTGTGAGGTGAACTAATGTTTTTAATTAAACAGCTACTACTACATGCCTTATTGTAATTACATTGTCATATTTTATTCACTATATTACCAGATCAATGAGTCCTAGTATTTTAAGTATTGAAGAAAGAATCATTTGTGTGTGCCGGGAGGTTATTTTTAAACATTGCTATGATAGAATAATTTGCTAATAGATAACAATATACACCCAGTGTAATACTAATCGAAACGTCCGTCGATTATAGAACAATGTGTATATTTGAAGCAAATGAATTTAGATGCACTTGAAATGTTTTGTGAGACACTATTCTGTAGATAGTCTCGTTTATCAAATCGCTTCAGTAATTCTTCGGGAGAATAGATAAATGTATAATTAGTTCTACATACAAGTGAGATTGATTACCTTTTATGGGAGATGTTATTCAGATCCACGTAGGTGTGGTATAGATCGATTTTGATGTTTCTGATCAGTATTTAATTATCCCATATCCACTAATGAAGTTCTCACTCCATTGAGTACTTATACTGATCCGAGTTTTCCATAATTTTATAATCTGGAGAAAGCCGATTACAGTATAGATAAAAACTCATCTCCTCTTCGTGGTTCACCTTATTATGAGCTTCGTTGGAGTTCGTATGGGAGGTTAAGCCATATAGAGCCAATTAGGTAGAAAATTAATTAGTTATCGATTAACAGTAATGATCACATCAAATTGATCGAAATCAGTAACCGAAAACCATTAGCTCACATCTGAGTGATTCAATAATGTTATTCTCCATGTGATAATACAAAAGCTTTGTATTTGATTATGAATTCATGAGCTAAATTAAGGCGAATAACCAGTGGACAGTGATACTTCTTCTACAATGTTTCCCATTTGGTATTTGTCAATAATGAAAAATATGCTAGACTAAAACTTTTGAAATACTGAATACTCTTCGAAGAATCGAATTCTATATTGTACCAAAATATAATATTGAATATAGCCATCACTAACAATAATAGTAATAATAATAAAAGTACATTTCAAACAAAGAACATGTTTTGAAGTGTACATAATAAGACTTCAGAAGGTTAAGTGTCAAATACAGTTTTCATAGTTCACTGATATAAGTCGAAGGAATGTTGATTTAACTTGAGTTGGAAGTGTAAGATGCTAGTCTATGAGCAGATCATTATGCTATCAAAGATGAATGGATTTATTATGATGAGATGTATGCAAAATCGCACACATAGCAATTTAGTTTTCCGTTGTTTTAATTGATGAGATATTTCAGCTACATGTTATACTGATTAAAACATTTTCAGGTGTAAAAGGACCAGATGGCACTGTTGGTATCACGGGAACAGTGAAGTGCTGTGAATGTACTGAGTTAACAGAAGTGGAAAGAGCGAAATCTTCTCTCATGTATGCCTCTAAAGCAGGATTTTCCACTGGAATAGTAACAACTACGAGGGTTACTCATGCAACACCCGCAGCAGCATATGCCAATATGTTACATCGAGATTGGGAGTCAGTAGGGTAAGTGCAAATTATATTCGACAATGATTTTACATTTATATATAGTTTTAATGTGATAAAGTACCTAGATTACGTGTGCATGTTTTTATTGTAATCAGAATAAGGTTTTTGTAGAGATTGTAGTAATTTCAACAGTTGAGAGTATGAGTCAATTGAAGATAGACCACCATGGAAAACCTGGAAGCACTGGACGGCCGTTTCGTCCTATTGTGCGACTCCTCAGCAGTGCTCATCCACAACCCCGCCTCGCATGATTCGAACCCAGGACCTATCAGTCTCGCGCCGGGCGCTTGACCAACTAGACCAATGAACCCCGTTTACAGTCAGTGTTTTGTGTAATGCAAACTAAGAAGCATTACTGTTAAAAGACAATGTTTTACTGTAGCGTGTAAATAAAACCCAAAATTCGTGAGATTTAAATAGATTTCGATTAAAAAATGTGGAATAAAATGGTAAATACATATTTTCTTATCATTATGGCTATTTATTTACTTATTAGTTAAAGGAAATTATCTATCCTAATGTGTAAAGCTATACAGACAAAGCTTACTATAGCAATTTTCTGACTAGATATACAAACTTTAGAACTAGTAGCCATTCACGAAAACAATTACACTTTCGATTTCAATTGAAAAAACAAATTTTCATCTGTTTACTAATTTCCTGAGCTTTTGATATTATGATTAGTGGAAATTAATCTTATTTCTCAGTGAGATAACTCATGAAAGATGGTCTTCTTCGAATAAATACTTTAACCGAAGCTAACACCTGATGTCGAATCGTTAGAATGTGTTTAGTATGCAGAATCTGTTATGATTTCGTATGAATCTTCTGTCAATATATTACAAAATAGCTTCTATTATCACAACAAATACATTTACGTATGAGACATTGTTCGTTTTTTTAAATAGGAATGAAATTTATTCGAATAATCTGGAAAGCACGTATAGTTTGGTCGTTAAGATACAATAAATATAGATAACTGACTTTAAGCACAAGGCTTAGATTTTAATTTTTTCTTCAATTTAGTTGGTTAGTTACTTTAATGTTATTTAAGTTATCTTTTAGAGAAGGAAGGGAAATTAAAGTTGGTTACCTGTATGTTTGTTTTCTCACTTATGGAGATAATTTGAACAACATGTATATCGATTGGTATTTAGTAACTTCAGCCTATTGATTTTCTCTTATGATGAAATGAAGCTCAAACGGAAAATTAGCAAACCATTTAATTTTATTAACAATCAACATGAAGTTTATTTACATTTTTTTTAGTTATATACTGTTGACGAATCAATGAGAGAAATGTAGTACCTCCCTTTTTTCTCAACATAATTGAAACAGTTAAAAATCAGCATAAATACTACTGGGAAGCATATTTGTTATTATTGATAGTTCGAACTGAAAGATATCACTTCTTGAAAATTATTAATTTCTGATGTTGATTTATCTGTAAGAGATGGGTAAACAGGATGTACGTGCTTGAACTTCACTTATTCATGTAGCTTTTGGTGAGACTGAGATTGAATTTTACAAGATTACTGCATGTAATTATAAATGTTGTGTGATCGACTTCAAAATGAAAATACATCACCGTGAAAGAGATCTTTTTGGTTGAACAAAAATTACATTTTATCATTTAGTAAAGCTAAAACATAGGGTGACAGGACTACTACGAGAAACGTCTATAAATGATACGAGGACAAAATCATCTTCTAAGATATTACATAAGAAACTTATAGATACAAATTGGGTTTTTTAGTTGTCCTCTCTCCTCAGTTGTGCCAATTTAACCAAAATATTAGAAACTAAAACACTTACTATCGCCTAATCACCAAGTAGTGACTATTGCCGTGCTTATTTAATCATTTAGTGCTAAGCAAATTCTAAGAATCAAGTTGTAATGTTGCCACTAGTCTAATTGAGTCAAGACCATATAGAGAACATTAGTTCACACAAGATTTCGTGTAATCTTTGCTGAAGAATGCCAACTAGCACGAAAATTGGGTCCATGGATTCCTGACAACTACCATGTAAATTCGTAACTAAATGAAACATTCTCAGATCAGCCACCATCTGTTATAGTGCGATTTCTTATTTGACCACATACAGTATTTGTCAGTGGATCGTAGAATGCATGTATGTGGTATTTTTATTACTGATGATTGCTTTGTACTTGATTGCGCGCCTACGACGAATTCACAAACTAATTCAAATGCTTCTAATTATTATAATGTGTTACAAATGATACCAGAAAATTCAGGATAACTAACGACGTAACTTGTTGTTAACTACAACAGAATCCCCACTGTTTATTAATTACATTGACGTGTAAATGCACTACAATACTAACATAAAGTAAGTAGATTGAATATTATCTTAGCGATATATCTTTATTGGTGTCAACCATGACCATTTTTATTATTCAGTTTACCGCATTAATTAAAATTACAATGTCTTGACAAAATTTGTAAACATTTTAAGGTCTAATCTCAGTAATACACTTGTTAAAACAAAAATAAAGAGTAATAATTTGCTTCATCTACACCCCTTAGGAAGTTAATATTTGACGTACTGATACTCTTGTTTAATGATTTAACACAGAAAGCACATCGTATATTTCTTGTCTGAAAGTCGTGATGTTAAAGTTGTACAGACTTAAAACATGAGTTCTTTCGATTTTCGGGGTCGTGATATAAAAATACACTGACCTGTGGTCGTCAATCAGTATCTTGGTTGTACCTTATTTTTTGTTCATGTCACAAAATCCAAACTACACAATATGTACTCAAGGCATCTTTCAGAATACTATTTCATGACTAGATGTCGCCAAACTCATACCTTAATTTTTTTGAACGTTACTACAAATCACTAGTTTCATCACATTCATATCATCAAGATGGCTTATTTCTCCTCTTTCTCATTCAGCCCATCAAACAAGCGCGGATTCCACTGCACAGACGCTGCTGCACAACTACTGACGAACGCTTCTCACGTCAACGTTATAATGGGAGGAGGGGCAACCGAATTCTATGGCCAGTCGAGCACTCTAGCTTTTAACAAAAAAGGTAAACGCTCTGATTCACGCAACCTCCTACAAGAATGGAAAGATATGCAGACCAAAATGAATCGCAAGCATGTTCTCTTACATACAACCGATGAGTTTAAACGAACTAGCTGGTCCTCAGTTGATTACGTTCTAGGTAAGTCTTACTATCCTCAAGTAGTGTTTCATTGCTTTTAAGTTGTCATCTCATAATGTGTGTGGAACTATGAATACTTAGCGATGATTTGTGATTCATTTCTGTTTAAATATAAAGATTTTTTTGACAAACAACGATATTAGGAGTTGTTCAAACGTTAAAATGAACATCATTAACACTGTGTGTGAATTTTCAATCATTGTCAACAAATTATTGTGTTTAAAGCTTTAAAGTTTTCACATAACTGTCAACTGTTATGGCTTCATTATGGCTGGACGACTAATACTTGTTTAAATGTAGATTTAATGAGTTTAATAAATATTAATTTACCATCAATGTCATTTGACTTTCTATGTTTCATTCAGATTTATCGTTATTTTTTTGACTTGAAGGTTTGTTTGCTCCGAGTAACATGGCTTATCAACTTGAAAATCAAGACCAGCCAAGTTTAGCAGACATGACAGAAGCTGCTATCAAAATACTGTCTCGTAATCCTAAAGGATACCTTTTGTTAGTGGAAGGAGGTAGAATTGATCATGGTCATCATGTTAATCAGGCCAAGTAAGAGATTCTTTATTATTATTATTATTATTATTATTATTATTATTATTATTATTATTATTATTATTATTATATTAACACTACTAAAATTACTATTTTTGTAACATTGTTATTTGTCTTTGAGATGAAACATGTAAGTCTTTAATGGTTATATGTTCTTATACAAAATTCGGTTAATGTTGCGCATTTATTCGTATCAGACTTTCTGCTTATTTCATTCTATCCCGGATGCCGAACACTAACAATAAATATGATTTGAGAGTAATGCATTGACTGAAATCACAGTAATAGATCCGGCGACTTACTCTGAGTCATACACAAGTGTTATATCCAGTAGTAAACTCTGGTAATAAAACATATCTGTGATAATCATCCAGATAAAGTGTTTTCTGAGATAAAGTGTAAATAGTTGTGTTCAGTGGCAAAATACAAAGTACTGTACTTGCTTGGCAATTGATGTTGCACATAAATGTCGCCCAAGTTTCACGGTATTTGTTTTATACTTTAGTTAATTTTCATATTATAAGCGATAGATTACCTCACTGATAAATTTCTGATATTTTCTGTATTTCTGACTAAAGTATGATGGAACCTCAGGATGTTACAATGAGCGATATAGCACTACAACAATATGTTTTCCATTAATCTCGTTTCATTATTTCTAATCAGCAACAAAATCCGTCAGTTAATAACTAAACTATCATCAAAAGGAAATAATGTTAGTCTCTATCGATAAGACTGAATCAACGAATAAAAGTTGAGATGATGAATCGATCAACGTTAGATCGCCACTGAAAACTTGGAAGCACTAGACGGCCGTTTCGTCCTGATATGGGACGTCCAGTGCTTCCAAGTTTTCAGTGGTGATCTATCATTGATCGCTTCATGATCTCTATGAAAACTCAACAATCTCCACAACCCTATTCTGATAATAGTATTTGAGTTAAACGACTCGTTTAATCCCGGACTGGATATTATTATAATCATTTTTATTTAACTACCAACTATGAAATCGCATTTATTATTATATAAACATGACTTCTGATTGATTCATTTTGTCATCTCTGCTACTGTTCGGTATGAGTATGTTTATTGCTCTCTTTGGAAATGACTAATGTTTTGCGTTTTTGTACTAACTGTGTTAATTAGTATTTTAGAAATAGATTATAATTCTTAACTATAGCCCTACTAAGACTCTGTGTTTAACAGTATTGGGACTTGTTCAAGAAATTCATCTATAGATAGTTACTTCCTACAAACTGTTAGCTGATATTTTGTCATTACTTTTAAATAGAATTTAGCTATGCGGAAGTATACAAAAGAAAATAAATATGAACACATCATTTTACAAATAATTTATATTTGACCAAAAGTGTGTAAATCTGTTTGAACTTCAGATATAGTTTTCATTTAGATCTTGATCAGGCTTTACTCCAATATGCAGTAATGTCTATATGCATTTATAAAAGGTATTAACCCAATCAAGGGAATATTGCAGTCAGTCATAACAATGAAATACGTTACATAATTAATTATAATAAGTGAAATGTAAAAATTGGTAGTATGCTGACTGGTGTGCTATTCACGATATGAATGGTAACAGCTTGGATAAATATTTAAAATACCGGTTGGCAGATAGATAGGTCTGTAGCGTGGCGTCGAGTTGAGGTTGACTATGAACACCGCTACCAAGAAACACGTGCCAAATAAATCAGAAGGCGAAGGTTGAACGTAACCAAAGAAACCCATAAAATCTCCGAGAAGCCAAATACCAGAAGGCAATTAATGGAACAAGTCGATGTTTATTTGCTGGCGATCTCGTGGCATCGAAAGGATACCGAGATCGTGCCAGGATACAAGCTTGGTTACAGAACGTAACCTAATTCGCGCGAAGTTACAATCAAAGTGTAAGTATAAGAATGGAAGCACAAAATAGCTGTCATTAGCACAGTCAAACAAAAGCACGTTAAAACAAACACTGGTACAGTTGGTTATAATAATAATTGTTTTTATTAAACCAGTCGTGTTCTCGTGATAAATGTGAGTCACTACAGGTCAAGATCCGGGAAAATAGACTTATTATAGTAATAACAACTAAAATTAATCAATAAGAAGTGAGCTTAAATACACAATTGGTGAAGTGGGGATAGGAAAAGGGTGAAGAGAAACAAGTAGACGAATCTCCCTAATTGATATAATATTTTTCATGTAGACATATACTGTACGTTAGAATGAAGCCTGATGAAGACCTAATAGAAAAGATTATTGTTTACTCACATGTGTCGTTTGAATTTACACAATGGAGAAATTTATGGCATAAAATATCGTAGTAATTGTCTAGCGATTCAGTTGAACATCGTCTATAATCACACAAGAAGACTTTTTATTTGGTTGTACAACAGATATTCTAGTCAGTTGACAAAAGGCAACAATCAACTTTATTTTATTAGCTTTAATCTATGGACTACTGTGCACAACTACTAAATGACATTCCTAAGGGTTTCACTATAAAATAGTAATGTTTCGACGTTCCGACTTTCAAGTTATTAGTAATATTATCATATTTATACATAAGCGAATTCCCACGTCTTCTGCTCAGCATAACAACAAAGTTGAAATGTTGTCGTACAACAAAGATAAGCGCAGTTTCACATAAATTTAATCTGCTAAAGGTTATTAACCATTTTCTGTTGGTCTTATTCTTAGCCATTGGATCAAGATATGGAAAGTTATTTATTTCACCATTATCTTTGTTTCGCTAGCAAGACACTTTCTAAAACTTAACTGCCATAATTTCTTAAGCTGACTGAGTGAAGATAAGCTGTACAAAAATTTAAACTGGACCATTTCATGGTTATTGTAAACTCAATCTGTAATAGTGACTGAACTCCATAGATGGCATACACATAGAATCTACAATACATAGGTATCAGTTTTTTTTAGTAAAGACTCTTTTCAAGTAAACAAACTCTCCATAAAACTGTCTAGGTGAAACAGGATTATTTCTTTAGTCCAGGCAACATATGATTATGTTAATTTGTTAACTAACTGAGTGCTGAAAGGAACGATCGATGAGATCTTACAAGCTGAAATATAAATGATGTCGAAATTAAATAAACTGTATTTCCTGTCGCTTTCTCATGTGACAAATACTTAAATGTTTGTGTTGCAATCGATTCTAGTGGTTACTTACTTACGCCTGTTACTCCTCGTGAAGGAGCATAGGCCGCTCACCAGCATTCTCCATCCAACCCTGTCCTGGGCAATCCTTTCTAGCTCCGTCCAGTTGTAATTCATCCTTTTCATATCTGCTTCTATTATCCGACGCAATGTGTTCTTAGGCCTTCCTCTTTTTCGCTTCCCTTCAGGATTCCAAGTTAGGGCTTGCCTCGTGATGCAGTTTGACGATTTGCGTAATGTATGTCCTATCCATTTCCATCGTCTTTTCCTAATTTCTTCTTCAGCTGGAAGTTGGTTTGTCCTCTCCCACAGAAGGCTGTTGCTGATGGTATCCGGCCAATGGATGTTGAGTATCTTGCGAAGACAGCTATTTATAAATACTTGTACTTTCTTGATTGTGGTTGTTGTAGTTCTCCAAGTTTCAGCTCCATACAGTAGAACTGCCTTGACGTTCGTATTGAAGATTCTCACTTTGATATTGGTTGAAAGTTGTTTTGAGTTCCATATGTTCTTCAATTGTAGGAATGCGACCCTTGCTTTGCAGATCCTCGCCTTTACGTCTGCATCGGATCCTCCTTGTTCATCGATGATGCTTCCCAAGTATGTGAAGGACTCTACATCCTCCAGAGTTTCGCCATCAAGTGTGATTGGATTGCTGTTCTCCGCTTTGAATTTGAGGACCTTGGTTTTCCCTTTGTGTAGCTGAGGCCTACTGATGCAGAGACTGCTGCTACACTGGCTGTCTTCATCTGCATCTGTTCGTGTGTACGTGGTAGGAGGGCTAGGTCATCTGCGAAGTCCAAATCGTCTAATTCATTCTGAGCTGTCCATTGTATTCCGTGTTTTCCTTCAGATGTTGAGGTCTTCATGATCCAGTCGACCACCAGAAGAAAGAGGAAGGGAGAGAGTAAACAGCCTTGTCTGACTCCGGTCCTTACTTGGAATGCATCTGTCAGCTGTCCTCCATGCACTACTTTGCACTGTAGTCCGTCGTATGAGTTCCGGATAATATTGACAATCTTCTCAGGAACTCCGTAGTGTCGAAGAAGTTTCCACACTGTCCTCCTATCTACACTGTCAAATGCCTTTTCATAATCAATGAAGTTGATGTATAGTGATGAGTTCCACTCAACTGATTGTTCGACGATGAACCGTAGTGTTGTAATTTGGTCTGTGCACGACCGATCCTTACGGAATACAGCTTGTTGATCTCGAAGTTGGGCGTCTACTGCATCCTTCATCCGGTTCAGCAACACTCTGTTGAAGACTTTCCCTGGTATTGACAGTAGTGTTATGCCTCTGTAGTTTTCACATTTGCTCAGATCTCCTTTCTTTGGAATCTTGACGAGGTGTCCTTCTTTCCAGTCCATCGGCACTTGTTCCTCCTCCCAAATCTTTTTGAATAGAAGATAAAGCATGCTTGTGGTTGCTTCGATGTCTGATTTCAGTGCTTCAGCTGGTATGTTGTGACTGCTGCTTTCCTGTTCTTGATTTGTCTGACAGCCATTCTAATTTCTTCCGTAGTTGGTGGATTGACATCTATAGGAAGATCTATGTGTGCTGCTTCGATGTCCGGTGGATTCATTGGAGCCGGCCTATTCAGGAGTTCCTCGAAGTATTCTACCCATCTGTTACGCTGTTGTTGAATTTCGGTGATTGGCTTGTCTTCTTTGTCTTTGACCGGCCTCTCTGGTTTACCGTATTTCCCTGATAGTTTCTTCGTTGTATCGTAAAGCTGTTTCATATTTCCTTCTCTAGAAGCTTTTTCTGCCGTCGTTGCTAGTTCTTCCACGTATTTCTTCCTGTCGGCTCTAATGCTCCTCTTCACTTGTTTGTTTGCTTCTCTGTATTCAGCTTGTGCTTGGACATTCTCTGCTCGTGTTCGGCTATTGTTTATTGCTGCCTTATTGTTCTTCCTTTCTTTGATCTTGTCCAGTGTTTCTGTAGAGATCCATTCCTTATGATGGTATTTCTTTAGACCCAGAACCTCTTGACACGTTGAAGTTAATGCTTCCTTGATGCCTTTCCAGTTGTCCTCCATAGTAGTTTCTTCTTCTTTCAGTAGATCTTGTAAGGCTTGGAACCTGTTGTTGAGAGCTATCTTGAATTCATTGAGTTTGTCAGTATCTCGAAGGAAGGCTGTATTGAACCTTTGTAGTGCTGTTTGTCCACTTGTTCAGTTCTTTTTTAGCTTCAGTTGCAAATTGGCTACAACTAGGTGGTGATCTGAAGCTACGTCAGCACCTCTCCTGGTTCTCACATCTTCCATTGTCCTTCGGAATTTTTGTTGATGCAAATATGATCTATTTGGTTCTCTGTAGTGTGGTCCAGTGAGATCCATGTAGCCTTGTGTATACGCTTGTGTGGAAATATTGTGCCTCCTATGACCAATTTGTTGAATGCACATAGATTTGCAAATCTTTCTCCATTTTCGTTTCTTTCTCCCAGTTCATGTCGTCCCACAATATCTTCATATCCAGTGTTGTCTATTCCGACTTTGGCATTTAGATCTCCCATCAGAATAGTTAGGTCCTTCCTTGGGCATTTCTCTATGATTGACTGTAGCCGCTCGTAGAACTGATCTTTAATGTCGTCGTTGCTATCATTGGTGGGTGCATAACATTGGATAATATTCATTAAGATCCCCTCCTTCTTTGTTTTGAATGATGCTTTGATGATTCTGGATCCATGAGATTCCCATCCTACAGGTGCATTTCGTGCTACTTTGGACAACATAAAAGCGACTCCCTGAGTGTGTGGAGCATTGTCCTCTTCGTGACCGGAGTATAGCAGCATCTCTCCCGTAGCTAGCCTTTCCTGTCCAGCTTGGGTCCAGTGGGTTTCGCTGATTCCCAGTACTGCTAAGTTGTACCTCTTCATTTCCATTGATATTTGACTGGTCTTCCCGGTTTCCCACATTGTTCGAACGTTCCATGTACCTATAAAAATGTTTGCTCTGGTTGTAAGAAGGGGCATCGGCCTCGTGGCTTCCGAAGGAACTCGGCTTTCACCATGAAGCGTCATAATTCTTCTAAATGAAGACCTTCTAACTCCCAGGGCAGAGTTTAAGTGGTTTGAATTATTTTTTCTCGTAAGCGTTTTTTTTAGCGAGTTAGTTTTCTACGGGATGGGACGCTAGCCCCATGCCCAACCCTCCTCCTTTACCCGGGCTTGGGACCGGCAGTAACCCTATAAGAGCTACAGGTGGAGTTATTCTAGTGGTTAGCTCACTTAAAGGCTATTAACTACATACTACATTGTAAGGTGATCCTCTGATCGGTAGTGTAAACTGAGATAACAGAAACCATATTTTGGTCGTTATATTTAATATGACTCGTAATGACAAATATAATCTATTTTAGCTGAATGTAGGTTACATTCATTTGCATAACCAAATATTATATGTCGAATGCTGTTTATATAAAGTTGAGATACATTTGATTTATTCATTTATGAAATGACCACATGATTATCTTCTTATTTTCATGTTGATCAAAGATATGCGTTAACTGAAACTTTGGAGTTCGAAAAAGCCGTCGAGAAAGCATTGTCACTTGTTAATCAACAAGAAACATTACTAGTAGTAACAGCTGACCATTCTCACGTTTATGGAGTGGTCGGCTATCCGACAAGGGACACAAGTGTGCTAGATGTGGATAACACTGCAAAGGTAAGTGTTAACCCCGTTACTAAATAACGATATCGAACTATCATACGATTGTGATGCATTGTGTTACTTATAAGGGTCTACTTGATGTGATTGGTTTATTTTGCCTCTCATGTATTGATTTTGGATATATATACAGCTAAAAAACACATGTGCTACTTAATAAAATATGATTTGACATATAATTGACAATCAATGTGACCAACACATTTTTTATTTTTCTGTCGTCATTACTGATATACTAAGCAAATCAGTACTCCAAATTATCTACTCGAAAATTAGATTCAACAGTAAAATCACATGTTCGATTATGACTTATTAGAAAACTGTCTTTATTTATGAAAATTTCACAGATCGAAGTGTGAACAGATTTTGTCAAATGTATGTTTACATTACAAAGAGATTTATGATTAAAATGAATTAGTGAAACGCGAAAATGAATAATTAACTTCAGATATCATTTTAGATAGGAGTAAGAGGGAGGGATCGAGATAGTTGGAATGGCAACAATATAAATAATAAGTTTTATTTAGCTAGTACATAATGTCGACATTCAACAAACAGTCTCAATTTAGTTAAGATACTGGAGAATAATATCGAAGTTGCATGATGATTGGTTGTTTGCAATCCATTCGAAAGGTTTGTCAACACTAAGATCGAAGATATAAGCTCAAGTATAACACCGGAACAATTTTTAGGGCAAAGAATGTTTACAACTACTGAGTGTAAACAGAGTTTCCGTTTGCTTGAGATGTTTATGGTGGTCTTTCAGTTGATGTATATTCGTCATGAAATCCAGTTTCAAAAAGGATTTAATGAGTATTGAAATGTTGTTAACCGAATATGAATTAGTCAGATATTCGCACGGCAAACAAAAGATTGACTACTTCCTTATCGCTAGCATATTTTATCAACGAATTCGACAATAGATTCTCTCCATTTAACAATTGAAACATAATAACATGAGTTTGTTACATTACAGCGATCTCACCTTCACTTGAGCTTGTATGCGTTTATGTTTATTATGCCCTCTGAATAACTTACTTAATAGGTAGTATCACTTGTGTCGGTAACTATTTGCCTACATCTTTACCTTATCATTTACAGGCTTGTGTGAGTATGTGCGACTAATCACCAGTTACAACCAACATATATACACATCTTAGTAGGTTAAATGTTATTTACTTAAAGAGCGCGATGACGTACTTGCATACTTATATATCTGAGTATCATAATTTCAAATCGCTCATGTGTATTTGGAATTCTTCTTCTTTGCACGATTATTAATATTATTATTATTGTAATCAATAATAATAATAATGTTGTTCGAATTCACCCTTGTTCGTATCGGCATCGTGTACTTGATGAAATTTAATTAAATTTTGATGAGAGTTAATGTTGGACACAGAAAGGGATACGCTATGCATAATGACATGATAAATTTGTCTCGGAGTGCTCGATTTCGAAATCATTAATTTGTAACTGAAATGACCTCATTGAATGTATCCAACGGAAAATTGACGTAAATGCGTGTTTTCACAAATAACTGTTTATCAACTAAATGTCATTAATATGATGATAATTCACCAATTATGGTGTTGACTATAATTTATACTGTATGTTTACGTGCGAAATGTAAGTTCTGGTCAGCAGGTGAGAGGTCACAATCACCTTGACTTTCACTTGTCTTTGTAAATGGGTTTATATCCGAAAAGCGTAAAGTAGATTTTCTGATGTATCAAAGAAATGAATGGTATTTTCCCTGTATCACACAGTAACGTTTCTTCGAAATATTTAATATAGTCACTGAATATCTACTCTTCTTTACATTGGGAAATCAAAATGTTGAAAGATTTTGAGGAAAATTATAGTCATTTAGAACAACCTAGTTATTTTCAAAATATCCCAACTTACACGTCTCTGTCATCAATAATATTATTACGGATTGAAATAGTGTGTGATATATAATTAAAGTGGACCATATAAGAAACATTGATACACTCAGTCGAATGCCATTATCTAATATTGCTTTGTTTTGTGTTACAGGGAAATGATAATAAATCATATCTCATATCTTCCTATTTCAATGGACCAAGAGGTATATTGAATGCACCTCGATCGGATCCGGCAACAGAAGATAGATTTGCAAGCAACTATACTGCAGAATCATTAGTGAGACTCAGTTTTTCTACACACAGTGCTGAGGATGTACCGATTTATGCTAATGGACCTTACAGTGAACTATTTCATTCTTCATTGGATAACACATTTATTGCACATGCAACCATGTACTCGCTGTGTATCGGACCATACACGAATCAGTCACATTGTAACAAAGGAAACAATGGATCTCAACTCAGAGGACTTCATCTGAATAACTTTTGTTATTTACTATTTCTCAGTGTTATTTTGTACACTTTCATACATTATTGCATATTTTATGGTATTTCCTACAAATTATTAATTTCATGTGTTTCATGTATGCATATTTGTTGTTTGTAATATTTATCAGTTTAGATTAGATAAGGATTCATCAAATGATTTATGGATATACAAACATGTAATTTGTGAAAGAGTTTGTCATTCATATGCAGTTCATATTCTGTTTACCTGTTTTGATATTCATATTTATATAAGAATCTGTCAAAGCGAAAATCGAAATTGTTATCATCACTTAAATTACAGTGTCAGACCTGCAGTACCAATACAGGCATTCATTGTCGTATCGTTGATATACTAGAATTTCGACTCGTTCCCACACTTTCTAAAACAGTTCGTTAAACAATCACTAAACACCAATTTCTTGAATTACTTCGGGACTTGAATAACGTCAAAATTATCTGTAGTCATGTATTTGTTAAAGATTATTTTATCAATGGAGTGGTGAGTAAAATGTTGGATCATAGTGGTTGATAATCGAGAAAGAAGCCAACTACTCTATTTCCCGTCGCAAGTATTCTGGGTACTGCATCGCATTTCAACTAGATAGCTACCAAGAAGCCTAATTTATGGACTGACTTGAACAACTTTGTAAATTGCCAATAAACTTCAAGGTTTAATCGGACTTACACAGATGGCACTTATACACAATAAAGTATAGTTACAATCAGTGGAACACTCATTACCGAACTTTATCCATGGATAGTTGACGCAATACTCCTTATCATTATAATGCAGAAAATTTATTGGATTATCGAAATATTAGTTCTTGTATGATGTTATGAAATCGCAATGTTTCTTGATCCTAGCAAAACTTAAGCTATTCCTTTCTAGGTTAGTGTTCACTCACTTACTTTTGTAATTTCTGATTAATTGGTCAGAAGTGAAAACGAGAACAGATACTTCTAACATACTGGATGGGCTAATGACTAATACATTTGAAAACACAACAGTGAGGATTCCTCATGAACAAAAGCAGAGACGATTGCATATTACAAGATGGATGATATATCTCAATACAACGCAAATAAGAAACTAAATGTCAAGATACAAATATAGTGTTTCACAAGATGAGGAATAATCACAAATAAGTGGCGTGTAACAAACGCTTCCTTGTCTCGTGCTCATATGACATAAAACAAGGCCAAATTGTTGGTACTGGAATGTGTAAAGAAATTGATTATCATTCAAAAACAATATGATTTATTTTGATTATGTACAAATAAGCTTAAACAGTACTGTTAATAATAAATTCTTCTTCATGCAACTGCGCGACACCGGTTTTGGAGTTTTTCTCCAGAATTTTCACTGACTTTGTGGAAATCACCCACATATTCATTGATCTGTATTCTTCCTCCAAATTCACTTGGACTTTGGAAAAAAACTACAAATTTTCATACGACTCCGGAGAAAACCACGAAATTCCTCAAAAATTCCCCAGGATTTCCCCAAATTATGGAGATTGGGAACCTATTGTTTATTAATGATGTAGGTGGTGAAAAATCTCTCAGTAGTTAATTACATGAAGAGTTACTATTTTTTGTAATATTGGTTGCTGTCAATATTCATGTTGTGATGAATTTGTAGAAATATACTACGAGACTGTATTATGACTAAGTTTATGATACAAGCAAATCTCTCGTAAATTGATTCGTTTTTGAATATTACTGATTTGCTCTATCAAAATTAGACCAGAATTAAAGACATTGATAAAATTCAGTATTTGAAAAAGGCCTTGGACGTAATTTGTTAGTTATTAAGATATATAAACTATGTGGTTCAAGAATCACACATGGTCTGATCAACATGCCGACAAATCGGTTTCGACAAACATTTGTTGAAACAAGATAACGAACATGTCTTATCTCTGAAACGGTGTCTGAATTATCTAAATAAACAGTTCTGTGAGTCTTCGGCATTGATCCTGACTTCATAAATATTACTCAACACACATAGTTGAAGACACTCGGTCAACAATCAACATCAGATCACGAGTGTGTACACCTACCATGAAAGGTACGACTGTTTTTGCAAATGTCGACTTGGTTAAAGTGTATAAACAACTTTCCATGTCTGCTAATGTCATTTGTGAAACTTCTATCATCACGCATAATAAGTAAATAGTTTATTTGTTGGCGATCTCGTGGTATCGAAACAATACCGAGATCGTTCCAGGTTACAAGTATGGTTACGGAGCGTAACCGAATTCGTGCGAGGTCACAAACGACGGAAGAATGCATTTTCTTGGTACAGTTGGACAAACAGGTACAGTAAAACAATCCCTGGTACAATTGATTATAATAATAATTGTTTCCGTTACACCAATCGCGTTCTCTTGATAAAAGTAGGTCACTACAGGAGCCTCCCGCTAGAAAGGGTTTACACTTTCGATACGTAGCGGTTTCGTTCGTGGGACTGATCGGTAAACGTGCGATTGTAGGACGAAAGGGTTAGCAGAACAGAAAGCGATCGTTGATCGTCGAGTTGTGATCGAAGGTCTTTACGTAGAGCGGTACCAGAAGCGGTGTGCTGTATTTGTTGCTCGAGTTAGCGTACCACACCAGAGTGGTTTGTATCCATGATCTGAGGATTGCGTTCGTAGGGCTCCGGACCAGAAAACGCCGCAGACGTAGGATGGAACCACGTTGAGCCAAGGAACCAGAAGCGACCATAACAACCAAGCGCGAGATCATATAAATGCCAGATATATTCGGAACCAGAACATCGAGGAAAGGTTTATCATATTGAAAGAGTGAAGACACGTTACTGATGAAGAGGAGAAAGAGTAATGAGTCAATTACGCTTCCTAGTATAACCCCACTGGTTACATTCACAGAATTAGAGTAGCAAGATCCAAATTGGATGAATTGGCCACGTTCTGCAAAAAAAGATTTGAGCCATGGTGAAAAGGGATTGTGTATACCAAACGAAGAAAGTCTTAGAAGAAGCGGTTTGTGTAAGATACTGTCGAAGGCCCTATTAAAATGGAAGTACGAAATTATCACAGGTAGACCAACATCTCTTCTGCGGGTAATTTGATCAAATAATTTTAGGGGCGATGTGAAGCCTGAGCGTTTAGTCATAAACCTATGTTGAGATGGGCTAATCAGGCTAACCAAAAGTAAAAATGACAAAAGCTGTTTATGGATTAATTCTTCCACGATTTTTGATACCACGGATGTCATTTTTATGGGCCTATAGTTAGCGATACCACTAAGTGATCCCGTTTGAATCTAAGAGTGATAAGAGATGTTTTCCATACAGGTGGATAAGCTTCATATTCCAAAATAATGGGAATTCTCTAGTAGCCTGTTTCACAAAAGATGAAGGAATCTTGTCAGGTCCATCCTAATGTGACATTTTCAGGGTGGCTATGGTCTGCTTACTCCGCCTGTAGCTCATCTAGATCTGCTGCTGGTCTACGCAATATGGAAAGTATTCTAGCAATTCCAAGAACGTACACAAACTTACGCCAGAATTTTTTCGTTATTCGCTACTCAACCATGTGGAACAGACTGCCAGTGAACCTCCGTTTCAGTGAAACTACAACCCGGTTCAGAATTCTCCTTGATGATCTTCTTTCCGAAAGTGGATTCTGTCACCTACTGAATATCAATATGTCTAATAATGATTTATACAAACAAGGTCCGTCATCTGTCTGATTGACTGAAAAGCAAAGTGTAACCTTTAAAACTTTCAAAGTCTGTCTCATATTCCTTTCATTCACCTTATTATATGAAGTCTGCCTATATTCGTATTTATAATTATTACTGTTATTATTATCATTACTGGTCCCTCGACACATAAGATATTCTTTTCATCTCTTCTATTCCTAAACATTCAAAGTCCATAGTCGTTTATTCTAGTTCTGTGTTCATAAACATGCTTATTAAACTATTTGTGTATTTCACGTCCTCTTTATTTCTATTCCCTTATTTTCTTCCTTTCTTTCTTTAAATTCAATTCAATATTCTTCTCAATTACAAATAACCTGAATTATTATTATTACTCTCGTTTTCAAATATGGTAAATATAATGCTAACATTATTGAAACTTGTGTATTATTGCATTTTTGAAGAAACTCGGAATGATCTCTTCACAACACTTATATACCCATAAGATGTTTGTGAATAATAATGATGTTTCAAGCCTTATACGATCTACTCAGAGAAGAAACTAACACAGAGAACAATTGGAAAGGGATCGAACAAGCACTAAACTCAACGTGTCAGGACGTTTTTGACCGCAACAATCATCATCATAAGGAATGGATCTCTATCGAAACCCTGGACAAGATTCAAGGAAGGAAGAATAAGAAGACAGCAGTTAACAACAGTCGAACAAGAGCAGAGAAAGTATAGGCACGAGTTGAATATACAGAAGCAAACAAGGAAGTAAAGAGGATCATTAGCCAACAAGCAGAAACATGTGGAAGACCTAGTAATGACAACAGAAAAAGATTCAACAGAAGGATTTATGTGACAACTATGTGACACAACGAAGAAACAGCTAGGGAAATATTGTTAACCAGAGCAAAACTAAGGAACGAAGGGCGTAAAACAATCACTGAGTTTCTCGAACAGCGGAACGATTAGGTAAAACAGTTTGAGCAATCCTTGAATAGACCAGTACACAGAACCCACCGGCCATCGAAACAGTAGACATAGACCTTCCAATGGATGTGGCCACATCAATGACCGAACAAAACAACATTGCAAACAGACATATGAAGCGTCGAAATGTAGTAGGACCAGATAACGATCCGGCCGAAGCACTGAAATCAGACACAGAGGTACGTGCAAATATGCCGCACATCCTTTTTAGAAGGGTTCTTGAGGAAGAACATGAACCATCAGACTA